GTCACGATCTCGCGGTTCATGAGTTCGAGCCCCGCGTCGGGCTCGCTGCTATCAGCACACAGCCTGCTTCAGATCCTCTGTCCCCCTGCCCCCAACCTGCCCCTCCCCCGCTCGCGCTCACTCTCTCTCTCTCTCAAAAATAAAAACAAACATAAAATTGTTTAAAGCTTTTGTACGCGAGTGTAATTAACATACGGTCTGTTAGTTTCATGTGTCACACCTGCGACACCCGTCACCTGCCATCACACGAGGGTCTCTCACCTGTGCTCCCCCTGTACGAGACCTTCCTGATCCCTCAAGGGACACAGGTGCCCCTCCACAGGCCGGCTTCCCAGGGACCTTCTCCAGTGTCCCTGCTCGGTGTCCCCAACCCTGTGCGCTGAGCTCCAGCACGCCAGGGCATCGGTGCCCTGAAGGGCCTTCCCGCCGCCTCCTTCCGTTAACTCTCTTCCCTCCCCGTTCCGTTTGTTTTTCCTTGTCCTTCAGGGTTCGGCTTGGGGAATCTCTCTTCCACAAGCCTCCCTTGCGTCGTGGCCCCGGCCCCGTGCTCCCGCCGTGAGCTGCGCTGCCTCCACGATGGCACGTAACCACGGTTAGAATAACCAACACTTCCTGAGCCCTCACTATGGGCCAGGCCCAATTCCAAGCACTTTACGCCTATTTCCTCTTAACCTCTGTAGGGTAAATGCCCAGTTATGGTCATCTCTGTCCTACAGATAAAGCAACTGACGCTCAGAGAAGGTAAGTCATTTACCCGAGGTCACACAGCCAGCGGATGGTGAAGCCATGCTCTCAACCACAACATTAAGATCAGAGCTGGGACGAGGGTGGCCGCCTGGTGCAGAAACCCTCGCGTGCACAGAGGAGCCACGGAAGGGGCATCCTTCCTGTGTGTCCTTACCTGTGCGCCGCTTCGGGATCCCCGTTGGGGAGAGGCCCGCAGGAGAGGTGTTGGAGAGGGGAGGGCTGTCCTCGGGAAATGTGACAGGGCTGGGAGGGGAGACCTGTGGAGAGCCTGGGGCCGGCTTCTGGAAGGCAAAAGAAAGAGCAATTCTACAGTGAGGGGAGGAATAGGGGCCACCTCCTCGTCGAGGGTTCAGTCCCAGTTCAGGCCTCCTCCTCTCTTACCTGGGCCTCACTCCACCCTCCTGTGAAATTTCATGGTACCAGACTCTCCCCATCACGGACACTAATTTTTCTAAATGGACTCTTTTTTTCTCAAGTAGCAGAACTTTTGACTTTTAGCTAGGCATATGATGGCCCAACTAAAAACCCCATTTCCCAGCCTCCCTTGCAGCTAGTGTGGTCAGGAGTGTGAGAACCTCACTTCCCAGCCTCCCTTGCAGCTAGGTCTGGTCAGGAGTCTGAGAACTACACTTCCCAGCCTCTCTTGAGGCTAGGTCTGGTCAGGAGTCTGAGAACCTCACTTCCCAGCCTCCCTTGCAGCTAGGTCTGGTCA